ATAATATTTTTAACCATGTAAAATAACGTAATTCAACTCTTGGGTTGCAAAGTTATATAAATAAACTACCTATCTATCTATCTCTATCTATTGAAGCATTGAAGGAGGTGCAGAAAATCAAGGAACACGTGAGGAAAGGCTGTTTGTCGGGTAAGCCTCGGAACCGAGGCGCCTTAAAAATTGTGCCCATCGTGACTTTTTTAAAAGTCCTTTTAACTTGTTTTAAGTACTACTTTTAAGCAATAGAAATCTCTATCTTAATTTTTTTTTTTTATAAATCTCGAGATAACATGCTTAAGGCCTACTCTGGGACCTTAAGTTGCCTTAAGTCACCTTAAGTTGCCTTCAGTCACTAGTGGTTACACAATTTTATAAGGGTTCCACCCTAATCCCAACTGACCCTATTCACCTCACTTTAATCATAAGGATCAGAGGAGGAAGTATGGTGGATGAATGGTTAGTGCACTGGACTCGACATAAGCCCAGGTTTGGTGTCTAGTGTTGGAGCATTGCATTTTGTTCTCGGGCAAGATACTGTAAGCTCAAAGTGCCTCACCTTTTCCAGGTGTAAATATGGGTACTGGTTGGCAGGGGGGAGGTAACCCTGCAATGGACTATGAGTATAATTATTGTTATTCTGAGGTGGGCAATGGCTTCCATATACATAGAAACTCCATGTGAAAATAGTCACGTACCTTTCTATGCTGGCATGGGTAATTCCTGCATGTAGGCAATACTGGTGTAGGAATATGACAATGTATACTCTTCCATTTTCGTACTAAAACGGCTATCTGTTTCAACAAAATTTCTCTCTTGTATTTCATGATGAAAAAGCTGATAAAAGGGTTGACACTGTGTATTATCAGGATATAATAAATATTGAATCACATAAAACTTACAGTACCAGGTCACCAAGATAAAACGATAGAAAGGTATTCTGGAGAAAGGCTCAATTCTTACTACTCACTTATACCTTGAGAAGTATAAATAACATTATCAAATGTCAACTAAACTTAACTGAAGCTAAATTTTCTGCACTTAACTTACCCAGAGTAAGAGAATGTCAAAAGTGGGCCATTTCTCCAGCATAATTAAACCCATTAATCTGTACTGACTGTTTGTACTAGCTACTTCCAACATGGTATTCGACCAAGTGAAAACATTTGAACTTTGTAGCTCGACGAACCTTCTAAAGGTGTAAGTATTTATCTATCTTGAGACTTTGATAGTCTTTTTGTACAATTCATCATCGTCAGTTTGATGATAAACATACATGAACCACTTCTAAGCCAAGAAAATCCTATTACGGCAAACATGGCCACCGGAAATATTTGATCACTTGACTTAAGTTTTGTCCCGTGACCAAACTGCACGTGAGAACAACACGCACGCGGGCCTGCTGAAAAGTGTACAGAGAAATAATTAATTATCGATGCAAAAAATTCATCAAAAAGCTTTAAAAAAATTCACTCTGAAATTTTAACTGGGAGACCGCTTCAATGAAATAGACGTACTTGGCGAGAGAAACCCTATAGTGTTGTCCCGCTCCTAACTTCGAAGCATGGAAACTAGTTAGCGGCGCAAAGGTTACTGGGAGAATTAAAATGACGGAGACTTTAGAGCCAGTTATCAGCTTGGAGAATTTCGTCGTAACTCGTTCGTTTCTGGACAGTTGTGAGGCAACAATGAATGCTTTTAAACCTGTAATACTGCCACCAGGCTAAAATAAAACTTGACTACTTGGAAGGTCTCGCTGATCTGATAAACAGTGGAGAAAGACCTTAGCATATGGTTTTCAGTATGGTATTGGAGTGTTTTGTCTAACTGAGGCAGGAGAACAACAAATTGGTTGGGTCCCTGAAAAGGACCGAGCACTTTTGGATGCTGTTGGAAAGGCATGCGAGTTGCTAAACGGACGCAGTAGCCTGTTGAGGTATACTTTAATTGCTTGGAGTGTATTGTTGGGGCGTATTTTCATGAATTGATGGGTGATGTTTTCTTGTGCAGCCATTTGCGCCTCACTCTCTTCCCATTCTACAAGTGCGTTGCCTATGGCCAGGCTTAAGACAGGACCAACATGCCCGCTTTTCTGTGAGAAGATTCTTCTTTCCATCAATCGTCTTAGCTTGATAAAGTCGACAATTAACGGTCCAGTGCCTACCGTTGTCGTGAATCAGGCATTTTGGTCTAGGTTCTCTACTATTTTCCTGCTTTTCCTCTGAAATACTCGCTGCACAGTGTGCCGCGCCTTTATGATATTGGTTGCTACTAGCTGCTCGGAGTATAGCACTCTCGTATTCAATGGCTCTTTTTTTGCTCTGCAGAAAGTCTAGGAGACTTGGAAATTTGTTGCTTTTGTCAACAGGGCTGTCACGGGAGCTTACCAGCTCGGACCATTTTCTTTTAATATCTGGCGTGAGTGCTTTCTCAGTTACGCTGACCGAACTTGTGGTTGTGATCTCTGTTTCCAAGCCAAGTCTCTTTAGGTCTCTATAGCCATCCTCTAAGAGGGTTACAAAATCGATAAAGCGATGGTCTTCTCCTTCTCTGAGCATTCTAAATCGCTTTATTTCGTCAATGATGACATCGGCGACTTTGGCTGGATCACCATATTTCTCGTTTAAACGTTGCCACATCTCGCCTATTTCGTCGTCTACGCTTTTCACTAGTCTCGCGGGCTCCCCTTCAAGACAGGTGCGTAAGAAGTATGCTGCATCACCCTTTCGGGTCTGCGTCATAACTTGCTTCTGGAAGTTTCTTTTAAATTGCGGATACTTGCGTAGTTTCCCGTCAAAATGAGGCATTCGAACCTTTACCAGTTGTAGGAACGAAGCTGAGGCGGTACACTCCTGTTTTGTTCCCCTAGCTTCTTCTACATTAGTGTAACTTGCTACCATTTTCCCTTTTATTTCGTGATAACAAGTTTGGATTGTGGCGATTCAACTCATTTCAGCTTCTGCGGATTCGTTGGATAATAGCTGTAGCAGTTATGCGTTTAATTTTTTGCATTCTAGAAATTCGTCTTCTATTTGGGTTTGTAAATCTCTCAGTGCAAAATTCGGAATTTCCTTCGATTTCAGCGCGTGCGATAAACTTTTGTATGACGCTTCGAAAACGACGCGCGCTGTGTTCCGTTTTGTTCGCGCTCTGTCAATGTATCCTTGACGTTCTGCGTCTTTGCGTGTTCTTCTTTCCTTTAAAGTGATTTGCTCCACATATTTGATCTTGCGATCAGTCGCATCATTAACTTTCTCTTGTATTCCTGTCATCCAAGCCTCTGCTTCTTCATACTGTTCGTCCGTCGATAACTCAACATAGGTTTCATGTTTACCTTCGAGTTCATCATACGCTTCAGCTAAATTTGCGTAATTTGTTTTAACTGCTTCAATTCCTTGATCGCTTTCTATTGACTTGATGAGGAAATTCCTCTTTCTTGTAAATCGTCCTTTAGCTGATGTGCGCTTGCTTTTGGCTTCTTCGATTGCAGTTGTATTCTCAAATGAATAAAGGCTGATAGTTTCGAAAGAAACTGTTTGGGGCTGCGTCGATGGGAGTAACGAAATAATTTGGATATATCAACAAAGTTGAAATGGTAAATTGGCCACCGTAACGATTACAAAAGCTGACGTTTCGAGCATTAGCCCTTCGAAGTGTGTACTATGAAGTTAATTTGCGTGATACTTTTAGGAGCGGTCCCTTTAACTCATAGTATTTCTTAGGCCAAAGGTTTACTACAAACGTCGCCCTTCCAGTTAAAAGCTATCCCCTGCTCGATTATTAGCTCTTTATTGTCAGTGTCAACTATATGAATGCGATTTGTTACAGGTGGAGCACATTTACTATTGGTACGTGAGATTTTTCCCACAATACATTTCTGACAGGACCAATCTTTACACCAACAAATGCTACCTACCAAGGGTAAGAATATCCCGTGAAGAAAGCTAAGGATGAAAAATTCCTTCCAGACCTCACCCACCATTGCATGATGGAGGATATACCTTTTGGCTTGGTTTTCATACGGGGTATTGATGAATTCATGGGCTCGAAACACTTGATAGTGACAGTGTACTTACTTGGAGTTAGCAGTAAATGGGGAAGGAATACCTGTTGGACAAAAAGTTGCAAGAGAGAGATGTCAACGCTTCAAGGGCAACGCAGATCTATGGATTAACTACTCTTGAATCCATCCTGTAAACCTGCTTCTCTATTTTACCTTAGGTTGTAATTTCGAAATTAATATATTTGTCTTCTTCATTGTTCAAAAGTAATCACAAGAAAATTTAGTCACCTGTTTTGATGTGAATGACCATATAATTTCCATTTAAGTTCCAACTGACCTTAGTACTGATGCTTCTTCCTAAGGTACCCGCGAAAAATGGGAACGGACTGTTAAATTACAGGGCACTATTGTCCAAAGCGTTTTAATCTTTCACCAATTTTATTTTACTGTCCTTTTTGATCATAGCCATTGTTTTCAGTCCACTATTAAGATGTTCAGCTATCAAACCCTTTTGCTATGTTCAACTTTGCAACTTATTTACGACACTGCCTGAAATTATTACAGAGGTCCACTTTCCCTAAATGTTTTTGGGTGATCAGCACGATAACAAATATTACTTAACTAGAGATCAAAAGAATCTTATTAATCCCCCCAGTCCAAGGTTGTTGGTATAGCGTAAATTTCGTTGTTAATTTACTGCCACGAATCATTAAGATTGAAATATGTACGTCATCATTGTTTTTGGCTGCCTCCTAATTCAAACTTAAGTGGGAAATGCGAGAATCAGTGAAACAAACTGAACTTACAGGTATCATTTAAATCTCAAGAGGTACGTATTCAGATGAATTATGTGCTGCATCTTAAGTCATCTTAAAATAATCTTAAATCATGGTCTAAGATTTCAGGCCCCTGTTTAGGCCATCACTAATTTCCAGTCTTTCATCCTTCATTAAATGGCCTGATGCGTTTCGAATACGAATATATACGTTTGTTTTGTCGACTCAGTACTACTGCTATCTACGTACACTGCCTGACGGGAGAATATTGCTGTAAAATAAATGCATAATAATGTAACATTCAGTGGTCTCTTGTTTAAATATTTGAATTGAAATCAGGTAGCTCACGTGCTTTTGAAGCCGGGTGGAATCGAAAACTTTGTTTGAGTGCTCTGACGACATTTCATTTTGACTTTATTACCGACTGGGTGATTTTTGAGTTCCAGCTGCATCATGTTAAAATTCTCAAGGGACCTATCTTCATACTTAGAGGTGATATCAAACGCCCCTAAATCTTTTGCAGAAGACTCAATAGAGGGCTTTGCTATTGTTCCTGTTTCAAGTTGACTCTTAAGCACATTGGTACCAACCATGCCACGAAGCTCACCCTGAAGATCATTGAGAGGGAGAAGCAGTGTAAGACAGCAAGAAAATGACCACTGTGGGTTTTTACGCCATTCCTTGAGGTATTGGTAGAAGTATACCAGGTATGTAACTACAAGCAAGGAGAAAATAAAGAGTACTTATTGTATTTCCAAATAATAGGTCGAGAGAAAATGTCCTTAAAAAGGATGTATCTTGTTGTTGGAGAATATAGTAGTAGATAAACCTGATAAAGTATGTTACTCAATTTTTCAATCTTCAATCGTTTGAACTAATTCTAGATAAATTAGAGTTTGAGTGTATCTTAAACCATGCCAATTCAAATACTGAGTCTGGATAGGTCAAGTTTACATTTTTAATGAAAAAAGGGCGAACGACATAGTATTAGCGTAAAAGAAGTATCTGATTTCACTCACATACTATCAACTATGAATAAATCATGATCAGAATCATAATAAATGTGATTAAATAATTAATACATTCATTAGGGATTAAAAAGGAGTATAACGAAAACGTACAGGCAACAAGCCCAATCACCAATATATTCGCTCCAAGTACTAAAATATTCATCATTAGGGTATCTGTTTCTCGGTTAAAAGAGTCTGATATGTTCTCCTGTGGCACTCTGCTGACCGCTCCAATACCTAGGTTCACAATGGTAACAGCAAGGGATGTCGACATTAGCCTGTTTTCAAACTCGTCTTGAATTGGTTTGGTCCAGGAAAACGCCACTCCATACATACCAGCGACAACCCATGCCAAACCGATGTAAGACCTGCTCTCCTCACCCACAAGAATAAGAACAGATGTAAGGATTACCTTACGGGACATTTCAACAAGTTCCCAATACCACGAAAGAGGTTTATAATTTTCGTAAAGAAAGCTTAGGGCTGTGACCAATTCATCGGAAAAACATGTGTCTTCTTCTGTTGCTGCAAGAAGTATTCGACGCTTCCTCCAAAGGGCTAAAAATGAAGACATAGGGAGGAAGAGGACGTATGCAGTAGAAATATATGTTACAACAAGCCAATGATTATACCTCGATCCTTGGCAGTGCACGCTGTAATCTGCTTTGAGGTATTCTTTACACAACTCTTCCCTGTCATCTCGGCACAGTCTCCTGCAGGCGAATGGCAGGACACTGGCTGTCTTAGAACATGTGCTAAGGTATGTTACATATAAGAAAAAGAACATATTTCGGTAAAGAAGCTCTTTTGTCTGTGAAATTTTTTTATCCTTTTCTCCATCTTCAAGGTCTCGGCGCCTTAAGATTATAGTCTTATGGACACTGCACGCGAAAAGCGAACCATCAATAACAACTGCATTTACAATCATAGTTACGGAAAGATCTCCAAATGCATCCACATACAGCGTGGAAGATAGACAGTTTAGGGGCGCTATTTTTAATAAATTCATTTGGAGTATTCCTGAATACTTGGCGATACTCCTTAGCGAGCCAGGCCATTGTATGAACGAAAAAACGTCAAGGAAACCAATTGTAACCTGGTATAAACCGATCACAATCTTCAGCTGGGAGAAAAAAGTGTCTACACCAGACTTTCCGTGGTCTTTGACAGATTTTGTTTTCCATATTAAAATCGCAACGATAATCGATAGAATTGCGATAATAAGTGAAAGCTGCCCCAAAATCCATTTTTTTGGGGGGACACTGGATGCATTTTTGAAACTGTCTGTAAAATCCTGAATGGCAGACTCCGCACACTGGACCTTCGTATCCTTTCTTACACGGTGAGTCCAAACCACCTCTGCAAGATTCTTCAACAGGGCACCTATAAGGCGTCGGGATCGGATGGGTAAACTGCACCGATGAGTAATCCAAGGCAGGTAAAGGTGCTATCAAATTCTTGGTGAAAATTCTGTAACGATCTCTGTATGTATCATTTCACCATTCCCACCAATAACCCGGTCTTAAAGAAGCATGTTCATTCTCGCATATCAGTCCCCCCTTTCATTTGTAACACTCGGTAAACATATGGGTTCGATAAAATCCTTCCAAACACGGGCAAGCACGATATCCAGCAAAAAAGTCAGTCTCAGTTCCTGTGTAATCGTTAAATCAACTTTACATCCATAAAGATTTGAGATGCTCTTAAACCTTGAATACTTAAGGGTTATAAATACATAACTTAATAATATAAATATTTAAACTTTCGTAAACAAGATAAACTTGCCTAAAAAGTAAAAGCTTTCGGCTAGACCTCTAGCCTTGATCACCTAGTAACATCTCCTAAAGCGGCGAGGCTACCAGATTTGCGAGTTCGTGTCGCCCCCCTCCCCCATTCCTCTGCTTCTGCCTCGTCTCTACAGCAGACTGCTCCATACTGCCGCGAGGGGGTGGAACATAGCCTGCGGTGTTCTTCGAGCCATGTTTTAAAGGATCAAGTTTAGAAGTCTAGCCGAAAGCTTTTACCTTTTAGGCAAGCTTACCCGGTGTACAAAATTTGAAATATTTCTATTCTGATTTTCCCCAGTGAGCGTGTAAAGATGAAACTAATCT